GTCACAGAGTTCATGTTACACACTATACCTTTTCAGACCATTATGGTGGAGGCTTAATGCCCCAAATATTCAGAGAATAGCTTTTACTGTATTACTTATTCTCAAGCCTCAAATCGGCACCAAGGCCAAGAGGGCAAGAACTACATGGATTTCAGTAACCTATCTTGAATTCTAGTCTCAAGTAAATACAGCATCTTGGAAACTATAATAGGAATTTATATTTTTAATAAGTTAGCCTCTTTGCACAGCTTTCCCCCAGTATCGTCTTCACTTCGGCTGAGTTGCATTTAGGAGATAATCTGTCAAGTGACTCGCCCTTTGCTTTCCCAGCCCCCCCACATCTCTCACATTAATGGATAATTGTCTAAATGGTCTTAGTCCTGAAAGTGGGGAAGATGGACACTGGCTGTGAGCATAAAGACAGGGGAGCTGTTTCAAAAAGCAGTGATAGGGAGAGATGCACATGTCCACAATTGGACATGATAATTAGTACTGCTAATATTTATTATAGTTCTATCTGTAGCATTGCAGTTTTTTAAAAAAAGATACATAATATGATACTACAGCTTTTTAGATCAATTGGAATATTGATTTTGTTGTCATCTGTTAGAAACCCTACAGAAACAACAAGGAAGTGTGTATGGACACCAATGTTAACTTCTCAGTCAAGGGCTGAAAGTTAACAGTGAAAGTTTAACATTAAGAGGCATTAGCCCCCTCCTGTGAAATGCCATGTTTGGACCTCCCTGGCAAGTTGAGAAGTGAGTGAGTACGAGAAACAAGCAGGTCAGGGGCCAAAGGAGTTATTGCTCTGATGACCAGAGAAGGGAATGGTCCTTGTAAGCCCAACCAGGAGAGGTGAACTGGGAATCGGTTGGTGTTTGGATGGCTCCGTCTCACTGGATATCCAGATTTTGCTTCTCCTGCTTAGTAGCTCATCAAAAATAGTGTTCACATTTCTCACTTGTACATTCACTCACACACACAGACCCACTAGTAAAAGTGGGGTTTCATGACAGGAGAAGAAACAGAGAATACTAACATACCAGTCCTAGGAAACTATTAAAGAATCCTATTTGAGACTCTATAATCTGCAGGTTCTCTATGAAGGTTTGATCTTTGTAATCAAATCGATTGCCAAAGACGACTGCGCAGATCACATTGGAAACAGCACTGGTAAGCCTTCTTCTTGGGTCAAAAGGCTGCCCTGCAAGAACGGCCACAGAAATTTATGAGTGGGATCAGAGAAAATGGATTTTTCCTTCCACAAATCTCACCACAAAACTGGGAAAAAAATGTTTCAGGTCAAACTAGTATGATTAAATATTCTTTCCCTCTGTCCTAAGAACTGAATATAAATACTATTTTAAAATCCTATCACTTCCTTAATCAGGATACAAAGTGATGTTTCCAGGTTCCACTCTGGAATCCACTACATATATATTCAAAGATTTTATCGGTAATTTTTGATTACCATAATAACTAAGCAGCAGAGCCTATGTGTAATTCAATGAAAACACAGACTATGTTACCACTAGAGCTTCTTCACAGTCTCATTGCTATTTTCCTCTGTCAAGAATTGTTTCCTCTCTGCTGGGGGCTCCTTCCTCTGCTCATGGCTGGTTTTTCCACTCCCTCCCTTCCCCTGTTTCACTTCTTTGAATGCTCTGCTTCCCATTTTAATGGAGCTCTCTGCTCCTCTCTCCTCCTAATCTCTTTTTCCCCCTCTCTGTTTTCTCTTTCTTTCTCTCTTTTTTTTAAATAATCCCACTTTCTTTTCTTTCCATTTCTTTTCCCTTCTCATTCCAGAGATTTCTCCATTCAAGATGATATTCAAAGGTGCCACCACCCTCTAAATGAAGACTATTTATGACCATTTAATTCAGATCCACAGTGCCTTTAAGATCTCCACCCCTCCTGCAAACCACCTATTGTTATCTGCTTCTTGCCTATAACAGCAAATCGTTATCCATGTTTCCCTTACTGCCCTTAGATTACCTGTCTCATTCATCCATGAGGTGCTTTGCTGGCTGCTGAATTTGCCTGAAGTGTGAGGCATTAGGTTGTAAATGATTTTTTTTTTAAATCTTTCTGCTTCTTTTTCCAGTTTTAACTGAGCGCTCTGTTCCCTCCATCTCACTCTCCTTCTAATCCATCCAACAAACCTGACTAAATATAACCATGGGGGGAACAAAAAACAGGCTTAGCCTGTTTTTTATGTAATTACCACATTAAATAGCTTCCTAGCACCTACTGTATGTTCTCTTGGCTACTGCATCCACAGTAAGATTTCACTACTTCTGAGCAAACTTGTGATTTTATGAAGCCAAGGGCTGACAGTGGAGAGAAAAGAGGAAGAAACATCTGGAAAGCTGTTGTATTTCCTATCTACATTTTTTCTTTGCTCCTGAGCACCACTGGGGGAATAAAGGGCAGTCTTATCACTGCCTATCTTCCTTTTTCTTTATTTTGTGCACTTAAGTGCAGAAGGATTTGTGTTTCAGTTTAGAATCTATTTCTCCTGTAACTTCACATAGTACAAAAACCCTTTCTGGCTCCTTTTTATACACTTCCTGAAATTATTCTTCTATAGGAGAAGAGCTTTCAGTTTCTCTAGAGGACCTTTTGTGGTAGCCATTTCCTCCGCTAGACAAAGGGCTTCCTCCTGCACCCTCTCA